TCCTCTTCCTCCTCCCCCTCCCCTCGCGCCGCGCGCTCCGCCGCCGCCGCCGACGCGGCCGCCTCGAGCTTCTTCTTCGCCGCCGCCAGCGCGAGCTCCTCGGGCGATTTGAACACGTCGTCGGACGGCGCGTGCCAGACCATGCCGAGCTGCTGCTCGTGGATCGTCTTATCCGCCGCGAGCGCTCTGCGGACTTTGCCCGCCACCTGCGCCTCGTTCATCGCCCACACCTGCTCGTACTTTCTACGGTCGGTGATCTCGAAGTGGCGGCACTTGACCTGGAGCTCTTTGAACTGCTCGGTGACCCTGCGGTAGTCCGCGGCGAGCTTGGCGTTTTCGGCTTGGTACTTTTTGTCAAACTCGGCGTACTTCTCCTTGAGCTTGATGAGGCTCTCGCGTCGCTTCCGTATCTTCCCTCGCTGCTGCCCGATCGTGCTCTGGTTCTCGTGGTCCCTCTCGACGAGCACCCTGTAGTTGTACTCCAGCTTCTCCGTGTTGAGCTGGTACGTCGCGCGCATCGCCTCGAGGTGCTGTTGCAGATTTTGCACATCCGTCTCCAGCCGAATCTTGAGCACGTTGTACTCCGCGGCATCCGCTGCGCGGCACTTCTCGAGCTCGTCGCCGTACTTGAACGCCGTCGCGACGCTGTGCTCCATGAAGTTCTGCTCCAGGATATTTCTCCGCTCGAACAGCGAGTCCATGTCCGCCTTGTTCTTCTCGAGGAGTTCGGCGCGTTGTTCCAGAAAGACAACCTCGGCGCGTTCCAGCTCCGCCGCGCACCGCGTCTGACGAGGGTCGAGGGAGGGTCGATCCATACGGAGTTCAAAGGCGTCAGATGGAGTTGAAAGGCGTCGAGGTGCGTCTTCCTTTCGGGATTGAAACCGAGGCGTGGTGGGCGGAGAGACGCGCGCGCCGGGAAGTAAAGAAGTCCTTAAGGATCGGCGTTCACCGCGCGGACGGGGTCGTACGGGAACCGGTGCGAATGAATCAGAACGCGCCTGAAGCGTTCGAAACTGCTCCGCCATCCGCCGCAGCAGCTCGGTCACGTCCGCCTCGTTCTGCTTCAGCGACTTGACGTAGTCGTCGTCCTTCGTCTTGAGCTCCTCCTCGAGCTCCGCGATCAGCGCGTCCTTCGACGCGACGACGGCGTCGCACCGCGCCTTTTGCGACTCGATCGCGTCGTGCAACTCCAACGGCGCGTTCGACGACGCGCCGAGCGTCGCCCATCGATCGACGACGTCTCGCTCCAGCGCCGCGCTGCGCTCCGCCTCGTCCACGAGCTTCCCTCGCAGCTCGCTCCTCCGCGCGTCCTCCGCGACGCGTCGCGAGCGCTCGCGGCCGTCGTCCTCGACGCGGACGGACGCGACGGCGTCGAGGCCTCGCGCGACGACCGCGCCGACGCGGCGCTTCGACGCGAGGATCTCCTTCTGCGTCTCGGTGAGCTCCGGCGCGGGCGCGTCCTTCTTCTTCGAGCTCACGCCGAGCTCTTCCTCGCGCTGGGCGCGGAGGCGAGCGGCGATGCGCTGACGTATCGACGGGCGGGGCGAAGGGATGGGGGGAGGGGGCGAAAGTCCTTAAGGATCGGCGTTCACCACGCGAACGCGGTCGTATGGGAACCAGTGTGATACTAGGGGACGCGCGCCGCGAAGAAGAGGGCGCGACGGAATTGGATGGGATGGGATGGGATTCGACGACGACGCGACGACGCGCTCGCACCTGCCGCCTCGCTTCGATCCTGTCCGCCGGGTTCGTCGAGTTGAGCTTCGTGAGGAGCTCGAGCTCGTCGATGTCGCGCTCCTCCGCGGCCGCCATGGCGACGACGACGACGACGACGCGCGGCGGGGCGGCGTCGTGTGGTCGGCCGCGCGCGGGGGACCGACTGATTATTATATTAACCCGTTTTGGGGCACGTTGCGTTGCGACCGACCGGACAGACGACAGGAGAAAGCCGACTCGAACGAATCCGAACGACGACGCCTCGGTCAGACGTCGCCGCGCGCGCGACCCGACCCGCGCGTCATGGCGACCCCGCTCCCGGACGCGGCGCCTCGCGCGGACCCGCTGCTCGCGTTCCAGGTCCGTCGTCGCGCGTCGCGAATCGATCGATCCTTCGCTCGCGCGCTGACCGCCCTTCGTGTGCTTCGATCGATGATGATCTCTTCGTCGTCGCTCGCGCCGCGCCATCACCCATCCATCCATCCACCATCCATCATCGCGCCACCTCGCCGACTTCTCCTCCTCCTCCACCTCCTCCTCGCCGCAGACGGACGAGCGGCTCGCGCCGTTCCTCCGCCCGGACTTCGACGGCATCGCGTACGCGTCCGACGTCCTCGCGAAGGGCGCGTTCGAGGAGACGAACGCGGACCTCTCGCGCGGGATCGCCGCGCTCGACGCCGCGCTCGAGGACGAAGTGCACGCCCACTACGACGAGCTCATGGGGTCGCTGGAGGGGATCGCGGAGACGGAGAAGGTCCTCGACGTCGTCCGCGGCGGCGTCCACGCGCTGCGAGACGCGGTGGCGCGCGTGCGCGGCGAGATCGCGGACCCGCACGATATCGTCACGAAGAAGACGACGACGCTCGAGAACGCGACGAGCGCCGCGGACGCGCTGCACCGCGCGGCGCGCGCGCTCAAGCTCGTGAACCGTCTCAAGGCGTGCGTTACCTGGAAGGTCAGCGGGGCGACTCGAACCGTCGCGACGACCGAGGGATCTGAACCGTCGGAGAAGGACGCGCCCGTGAACGCGGGCGACCTCGCCAAGGCGGCGAAGCTCTTGTCCGACGCGGAGGACGTCATCGGCCGGGCGCGCTCGGCGGGCGGGGGCGGCGACGGTTCGGATCCCGCCGGCACCACTTCGGCGGGACCCGAAACGCCGCGCGGCGGGGGATCGGGATCGGCGTCGACGACCGCGGCGACGGAGGTGTCGCTCGTCGGCCTCGACGTCCTCGACCGCGACGCCGGGTGGCTCAGAGAGGTTCGCGCCGACGTCCGCGCGCGCGCGGCGGCGGCGCTTCGACGCGGCGTCGACGCGACGTCGCAGGCCGAAGTCGGCGCGGCGCTGCAGGTGATGTACAACCTGGACGAGCTCAAGGAGGCGACGGACGCGGAGGTGTCGCTGCTCGTGATGCGCGCCGTGGACGCGGTGAAGGACGCGTTGGACCCGAGGCGCGTTCTGATTCGCACTGGTTCCCATACGACCGCGTTCGCGCGTTGCGCGCCGTTTCTTAAGGACTTTACTTCCCGGCGTGTCTCTCCGCCCACCACCCCTCGCTTTGCTTTCAATCCCCGCCCGGCACGCCTTTTAACTCCGCTTCTGACGCACCCGTGAACTCCACCCCGACGTTCGTCGCTTTGAACGATGGACCCTCGACCCTCAGAGCGCTCGCGCGGAAGATGGGCGGCGGCGGCGGCGACCGCCGCGGCGGCAGAGGCGTGCACCCCCCCGCCGGTCACGAGCACCGCTGGACGGAGGCGTTCTGGCAGCGACTCGCGGACGCGTTTCTCGAGCGCGCGCACGAGTGCGGGATGGCCGCGTGGCACGTGCAGCGCGTCGTGGCGAAGAAGCGGGACCCGATGACGCACGCGTTGTTTCTCGACGAGATCGGCGCGCCGACGCCGTGCGAGGCGTTCGTCGCGGCGTTCGCGAAGGGCGCGGGGGAGGCGATTCAGAGGAGTTTCGCGACCGTGGGGTTCGCGAAGGACGCGCTGTTGAGCGGGTATCCGCGGTTGATGGACCTGCTCGACGCGCTTCACGACGGGTTGCTGAAGGAGACGGATCACAGAACAGGCGGCGGCGGCGGCGGCGGCGGCTCGACGGGTTCGACGATCAGCGGCGTCCCCCCCGCGACGCGCCGCGACGGCTCCGACAGAGAGACGTTCGCGCGAGCCGGCGACGCGGTCGCGGCCGCGTACGTCGCCAGGGTGTTCCAGCGCCTGTCCGAGCCCGTGAACGCGCTGCTCTCGCCTTCGACGTTGCAGTCGCTGCACGGCATCGTGCGCGGCGACTTCGCCGGCGCGGGCGCGACGGCGGGGACATCGCGCGCGTCCGAGGACGTCCGGCGGTTTATGCTTCGCATCCGTCAAGAGATCGACGCCGTCGGCGGCGGCGCGCGGCCGGCGTTGCTGGACAAGGTGGTTCAATGCGTCGGCAAGGCGTTGAAGCTCATGGCGACGAAAGCCGAGCTCGCCGTCGTCGCCGCCGCGGACGCGCGGTCCTTTTCGTCGGACGCGCCGGCGACGGCGTCGCAAAAGACAAACGCGGCCATCGCGTCCACGCTCGAGGACGTCCACGACGCGCTCGCGGGGCTCGTCCCGATGTTGCCCACGGCCGCGAGTCGACGCGCGTTATCGGACGCGCTCGAGGAGGTGGCGCGCTGCGCGATCGAGGCGACCGCGCCGGTGATGCGAGCGGCGACGGCGCGGTGCGAAGACGCGATCGCGCGGCTTCACGACGAAGATTGGGCTGGGGGGGCGCCACCGGGGGAAGCGTGCTCGACGTACATGCGCGAGCTGTGCGACCTTCTCGCGCACTTGCGGCGGGAGCACCTGAAGGGGGGTTTAGGCACCGCGAAGGGCAAATCCGTCGGTTGCGCGGCGGCGGTGGGTGGGGCGAATCCGTGCGGTGACCCCGATCGTCGTCCGTCGCCGTCGACGGTTTCGGCGACGGCGCTCGCGACGCGGTGCCTCGATTTCTTTCTCCGGCACGCGTCTCTCGTCCGAGCGATCGGCGAGAACGGCAAGCTGCGCCTCACGAAAGACCTTGCGGAGCTCGAGCACGCGGTGAGCGCGCACCTGTGCCCCGCGGAGGCTGCGGGCGCGTCGTACAAAGCGCTGCGCGCGTTCAAGCCGCTGCTGTTTTCCACCCCGACGCGCGCCGTCGAAAACGTCGAAATCGTCGAAAACGTCCCGCCCGCGCCGCTGCTCCTGCACCTCTACTCGCACGCGCCGCGGATGTTACAGGCGCCGTACGAGCGCGCGGGGCTCGCGCCGGCGCAGTACAGCGTCTGGATGGACGCGCATTGCGACGGCGACGTGTGGGCGGGGGTGAAGGGGACGCTCGACGCGTACGAGTCGAGAAGCCGCGGCGGCGGCGGCGACGCGGAGGAGGTGATTCGCGCGATGCGCGTCGTCGGCGCCGCGATCGAGCGCGGGGGGCGGCGACGATGATTAATTAGATGACGAGTCGGCGGGCGGGCGGGCGGCGAGAGAGCGTCCTTCCTTCCTTTCCTTCGCGCTGTTGGGTCGTATGATAGATCGTCGCCGTCGACGGGATTATTAATTAATTACACGAGACAGCATCCGACCGTTTTCCGAGCCGCGCGCGAGCCGTTCTTTCGAAGGAATAAAAAATATCGGCACCACTCACTTCGACGCGCCCCGGGGGGCTTCGCGGACGCCCTGGGCTCCTCCTCGACATGAAGTTCGGGAAGCAGCTCGAGGATAAGATCACCGCCGCGGGGGCGATAGGGGAGAAGATACCGTGGCTGAACTACGCGTGCGTTTCCCCGCCTTCATCGCGTTCATCGGATCTGACGATGAGGGAGGCAACCAAACGACGACGCGCTTTTTCTCCGTCGCCGACGGCGACGCCGCCGCTCCCCGCTGACGTCCCCGCCCGTTCTCGTCCTCGCAGTAAGCTGAAGAAGCTCAGGAAGTGCCGATGCGGAGGCGATGCCCCGGAGAAGGACGACGACGGCGACGACGAGTCCGAGTGCTCCAGCGAGGGGCGAGCGGAGGAGACGCGGCGTCGAGCGGAGGCGTCCGGCGATGATTCAAACGCCGACGCGACGACGACGCCGCCGCGCTCCACGCCCGCGTCCGCCGATGACCCCCCGCCGAAGAACGAGATGGACGACGACGACGAGATGGACGACGACGACGACGACGACGACGACGACGACTCCCCCGACAAGGACGCCGCCGCCCCGATGCACTACTGCGAGATTTGCGCCACCGCGTTTTTCCGCGAGCTCGATCGCTCCATGAAAGCCACCGCCCGCGCGTACTTCGCGTGGGTGTCTCGCATCCTCGCGTCCGCGCCGCTCCACCAACACAAACACACGTCTTCTCGATCGTGGCTGCGCAGGGCGCTGTCATGCTCGCCTTCCGCGGAGGGCGGCGCCGGGATGATGATGTCGCGGTCGAAGCGGGAGAAGGCGGCGGCGAAGAAGAGGGAGAAGGCGGCGGCGGCTGCGTCGGCGTCGGCGGCGCGCGAGCGGCGGCGGAGCGACGGCAGCGCCTCTGGTGGGACCTCGCCGCACGGCTCCAGAGGCTCGCTCGCGGACGCCGCCGGCGCGAGTAGCTCTCCGGAGCGCGAGCTGAGCGACGACTGGGACGACTGGGACGACTGGGACGACGTCGGCGGGTCCGGGAGCGCGCCGGATCTGTGCGGCGTCGACGTCGACGTCGAGACGGAGGCGAGGCGCGTTCTATACACTGGTCCCCATACGACCGCGTTCGCGTGGTGAACGCCGATCCTTAAGGACTTTTCCCGGCGCATCTCTCCGCCTACACCACGGTTTCGATACCCGCCCTCGACGCCTTTCAACTCCAACAGACGCCTTTCAACTCCACCCCGACACAGAGAGTGCCTGCTCTGGATCGAGCTCAACGCCACGGCGCTGAGGAAGATTCTGAAGAAGTGGGACAAGACGAACCGATCCACGAGAGGCCGCGAGAGGCTTCTGAAGTACTGGAGCGACTCGCACTACCAGATGTTGTACTCGCCGCTCATCATGGAGCTACGCGTCGTCGCCGGGTTGCTCGAGGGCGGCGAGGAAGGGCCGCGGTGGAAACATTTGACGAGCTCGGAGGACGCGCCGCGCTCGGAGAGCCCGACGCCGACGTCGTCCGCGCCCGCGACGCCAACCTTCTCCTCGACCACCGCGCAGAACGAGAACCTGACGTGCGGCGTGTGCCTCGACGTGCTGTACAAGCCCGTCGGGTTAGCCTGCGGGCACGTGTTCTGCCGCGACTGTCTGCTGCAATCCGCGGGCGTCCTCGCCCCCGGCGCGTCGTTCAAAGACTTGCGACGGAACGCGAACCAGGTGGGCGTCGAGATCGAGAACGAGGCGACGACGAGCGGCGAGGACGGGAGGGGGAGCGCGCGCGAGGGGGGGGAGAAGCGAGACGCGTGCCCGGAGTGCCGCCAGGAGCACGTCTTCGCGTCCAGCGTGAGGCGCGTACATCTTCTTACGGTCGTTTATTCGCGCCGGTCCCTGTACGATCCTTTACCCTCGCTTTCAATCCCGACACAGGACACACCTCGATGCCTTTCAACTCCGACTGACGCCTTTCAACTCACCCCACCCCGACGTTCGTCGCTTTCTTCGTACTGAACGGCCCTCATCACAGGCTCATGCACGTGCAGGAGAGCTTGCGCGCGGTTGACCCGGAAGGGTATAAGCTTCGAAAGGCGGAGAGTAAGAAGCTTCGGAGGGGGCTCGGGAAGGAGGCCGCGCTGAACAATATGTTGCGGATGATCACCTCCGTCGCGACCCCGCGTGGACCGATGACGACGACGTTGCACCACGCGCACGGATTACACGCGCAGTTGGCGGCGGCGACGCAGGCGGCGGCCGGGCAACAACATCACCCGGACTGAGAGCGAGCGGCGGCGCGAGCGGCGAGGCGTCGCGCGACGACGACGACGACGACGCGCGGGTTCTCTACTGTAGTCTAGCTTCTATTGCGATACTAACTCCGACTTAACCGCGTCTACTAGCACGCGACGCGCTCGCTCGCTCACGCGAGCATGGGCTTCACGCGCTCCGCGGGGATGGACTTTTTCTCCCCGCCCGGGAGCTCGATGACACGCGCGCCTGTTTTTTTCTTAATCTTCACCACCGTGGACTTCCTCCAGTCGTCGTCGTAGAACGCCCACACGCGGTCGCGGACGTCGCTCAGAGGCACCGCCAGTCGCTTCCCGCCCTTCCACTCCACGACCGCGCTCGTCGCGTCGCGCCGCACGACGACGCACTTGTGCCAGTCGTCTTCAAAACGCGCCCAGCACCGCGTTCGCTCTCCTCCGCCGGGCTCCGCGGCGGCGACCGGGTGATTTCGCTTCTTCCGCTTCTTCCCGGGAGGCGCCGCCGAGGCGCCGGCGTCTTCTTCTTCTTCTTCTCCTTTTTCTTCTACATCATCCCCGCCCGCGACGACACCCGCGACGACCTCCGCGACGACGGCGTCCAACCCCCTCGGATCCGTCGCCGCCGTCGCCGCGCCGACGTTTTTCCTTCTCAACGCGCGCACCACCTTCCCCACGTCCACGTCGCTCTCCCGCTGCGACTTCCGCGCCTCCCCGAGCGCGAGCTTGCTGTGCATCTCCCTCGCCTTCTCCCTGCTCGCGATAACCGCCCTCGCGGAGCGCCGCAGCATCTTCTTCTCGAAGATCGGAAGCGCGCGCTCGACGCCGAGCGCGTGCCCGTGGTCGCCGACGGCGCAAGCCAGACACTCCGCCAACAGCGCCGCGTCCGAGATGGCTTGGTTCGCGCCCTGCGCCTTGAACGGCGTCATCGGGTGCGCGGCGTCGCCGATGATCGTCACGCGGCGTCGCATCGCGCGCTCGTCGCTCGGCGGTCGAAGCGCGATCGGATCCAACACGTCGCGGTCGTACACGGGATACCCTGACATGTCGTCGACGGAGGTACGCGCGAGCATCGCCGGAATCGGATCGTGCCACGCCTCGCACCGCGCCGCGATCGTCCGCTTCAACGCGGTAGGGTCGCGCGACAGCGCTTTCGCGCGCTGTTCGCTCATCGGAAACGACAGCTGCCACATCGTGCTGTTCGTCGTGAACGGCATCGCGTAGATCCGCGTCGAGCCGTCCACGGTTTCGAACACGCGTCGCTTCGCGAGCGTCACGCACATCGCGTCGTCGCGCACGATGCCGAGCACGACGATTAAACCGACGTAGTTTAACCGGTCGTTCGGCAACCGCAGGTGCTTTCGAACGACGGAGTGTATGCCGTCCGAGCCGATCAGAAGCGACGCGTCGATCGCGGCGCCGTCGGACGTCGTCACGGACACGCCGCCGACGCCGCCGCGTCTGGCGATCTTCTTCTCGCTCCACTCTTTGAAGCTCTCGAGCTTGCACCCCCACCGCACCGTGCCGGGGGCGACCGCGGCCAGGATGCGCTCGCGCAGCCGCTGCCGCGGGATGTGCACGAACCGCCCGCTGTTCTCGCGCTCCTTGCGACGACGACAACCCTTGCCGGCGCTCGCCGCGAAGGCTTCGCCGTAGAAGTTCAAGACGCCGCCGCTCGCGTCGAACGCGTAGTGCGACGTCGACGGCGCGTCGTCGGACGACACGTCGATTCCCAACGACCCGATCGCGTCGAGGCGCTGGATCGTGAGCCCGTACCCTTGCTTCCGAGCGTCGAACGACGCGTCGCCCTCGAGGACGAGCACTTTGAAGCCCTCGCGTTGAAGCGCGACCGCGACCGCGGCGCCGCCGATGCCGCCGCCGGCGACGACGATCACGCCGCACTTTTCAATCTCCGATCGTTTCGATCGTTTCTTCTTCGACTTCTCTCGTTCGTCGTCGTCGTCGCCGTCGTCGTCGTCGTCGTCGTCCGCGCCGCCGCCGCCGCCGCCGCCGCCATTCTTCTTCTTCCCGGCTTTCAGCCTCTTCAGCTTCTTCGCGATCCCGTGCTGCCCCGCGCGCGCGAACGCCCACTCCGCGTTGTCCAGCTCCTCGTCGTCGAAGTCGTCCGCGAGAGTCTCCGCGCGTCGCGCGAACGCGGCGAACAACCGACCGTCGACGCACCCCGCGTTCGCGAACGCCCACGCGACGTCCGTGAGCTCCTGCGCGCTGAAGTCGTTCGCTCGAGACGCCGCGGATCTCGCGAGCGCGGCGAACAGAGACGCGAAGGGGGATGAGATGGAGGAGATGGAAGAGGAAGAGGGGCCGCCGCGCGTCGACCCGCCGCCGGCGTCGTTCGCCTTGGCGAACGCCCAGGCCACGTTCGCGAGCTGCGGCGCGGTCAGCGCGTCGAACGTCCCACCTGGCAGCGCGAGCAGCGCTTCCGATATCGCCGCGAACGACGCGCGATCGCCGTCGTCGCCGACGCCGTGCCCCGTCTTCGCGAACGCCCACGCGACGTTCACTAAAT